TAACAAATACAGGAGAAGCAGCTCAACACAGCCCCAAGACATTTGGGAAAGCATTTAGTCTGGGAGCATGCAGAGAAGTCACCATCTGAGGGAGCAGCGGTGGAAGGAAGTGAGTTGCAAAAAGATCCTGGAAGCGTCTTCCGTGTGGAGAAAGTAGTTCTGTAGCAATGACAGCTTTTTGAAAAGTAGGTGCCAGGTGTATTTACTGAGAAGAGATCATGGAACTTCCTGGGAGGTGTTTATTAGCATGAGGTGATTTAATCCTCCGTGTGTGTGTGTGTGTGTGTGTGTGTGTACACAAGCATAGGCATGTGAGATTCCTCCTAAGTACAGAAACACACAGGCTTTAAGTAAAGTTTTCATTTTCCAGGTTTTGAGGAATTTCATTAGACGTTTCTCATGAGGTCCGAGCCCCGAGAACGAGCATTTTGGGTTTTGTCCACCTTCCACATCTATTCCTGTCTGCCACCCTCATCACAACTCATTGAAGTTGACAAGCGTGAAACTTTGGGAAGCCAAGACACTGATCTGCTGCCAGTGCTGCCTGGACACGCGTCTTGTACCCATTTCACAGGGCAGCTCGAAGCGCTGCTAGCTCACGGCCGACAGCGTGCTCTGCGCTGGGAGGCCCTGGCGCCCGGGCTCCGCCCCTCGGCTCCGGGGTTCGGGCGTGTTGGGGGTCTGTCTCATGGGGGCTTCTCAGCACCTTTCGAGCACCTGCCATGTGTCTTATTGCTTGGTTGCCTTTTAATTTATGGCAAGTGTTCCTGTTTCCATTTGTGGCCGTGGTATTTTCTTTCACAGTAGGACTACTTCAACAGGCTGATTTCCCCTTTTGTGGAATTTCCTATCAGTGGGATCACAGTGTGGTGACATCTGCCTCTTCACTCCACAGCAGGTCTCTGCACTCAGGGCCTCGCCTTTCTCCACATGCGCAGCGGTGGCACAGCCCACACACCCTCCTGCTCTGTGCGCATTGGGTGGGTGGCTTCCGCTCTGGACGGCCGTGGACACCAGCTTTTGTAACAGGTCTGCGACAAGTACCCCACAGGTCCTCCTTTCATTAGGATGGAATGCTGAAGTCCCTGCACCTCTGGGGACTGTGCCAGGCACAGGCTGTGGGGCCAGGGGCCGTGCCACCAGCCCTGCTCTGCATTGATTGAGTATGGCTGTGGCTCTCCAAGGGCAGCCTGGGTCTTCCGTTCTTGGGCTGGCCCAAGCGGTGCTTCTGTGAGCACCGGGTGAGTTGGGGAGGATGTGCCTAGAGGGGTAGGTGAAAGGGAGGGGAAGTACCAAGAGTTGGGGGGGGAGGGCACGTGTCTGTGGGAGGGGGCTGATGTGGGGCGCCTTCCCTACCTGAGTGTGTCTTCTTCCCGGAGGGCTGCCCCTCAACGGGGACCCCATCTTCCACCCCTCCCGGCCCTGCCATCTGGCTGACCTCCTCCTGGGGGCCTCTGAGCCCAAAGCTTCAGGGAAGGATTAACGCCAGGCCGGAGGGGCCGTTTCAGGCAAGGGGAAGCCCAGCGGCCCCACCTCCATCCAAGGCACATTCTCCACCACGGGCTTGATCTGTTTTCTTTCTCGAAACACCATACTTGCCCAGAGTAGAAACCCAAGAAGTCGATCTTGTTTTTTATTTTGTAGAATTTTTTAAAAAAAATCCAAAATGTTCAAAGGAAAATGGATGGTTCATAGCCCTCTGCACTTAGAGACACTGGTAGTAACATTCTTCTCGCGCCCCCTCCTAGCCATTTCTCTGGGTGTGTGACCTGATTTATTTTTAGAGTTGGGACAGAATCAATAAGTAAGAAATTTGGGGAATATGATCTAGAGTTTTGGCAAGTCTGTTTTTCCAGCCCAAAAAATTCCGCTCGCAATCCCCCGAGGCTGTCTGTGCTGCCTCACGGTGTCTGGGAAAGGGGCTCGGGCGGGAGCTTCACTCCAGGGCCTGGCCGTGGCCCCCCGTCTTGGGAAGTCCGGGGCCTGTGGCCATTAGGCCTGTTGCTCATGCCATGGGAACTCAGCTTTGCTAGTGGGGGTCCCATACCCCTGCTGCTCCCCCTGCCTGTTCCCTGCTGTGTCTTGCTCCCGTTCTCGGGCTTGGCACCTTGTTCTGAAGTTGAGCAGACAGGGACGGCCACTGTCTTGCCACTGTGTCAGTCCCCTGGACACGTGAGTTAGGGTGAAAGCCTGAGCCTCTGTAACAGAGCTCCTGTGCGGTGCAACTGAGAGAAGAGGTGTGTGTGTGTGTGGCTCTGCCCCGTGTGGCCTCCCATATCTGTCCCCGCTGCCCCTTGGTGCTCTATCGCAGTGACAGTTCCCACCCCAGCCGGAATGGCTCACGTGAGGAGTGGGGTCCAGTCCAGTCCAGGCTGTGGAAGAGGGGGAACGGGCTGGGTGGCTGACCTTAGTTCTGGCTTGTTGCGGGCCCTCCATCCTAACTGCTGTCTGCATTTCCACCTTTTTTTTAATAAAAGGCACGTAAAAAGGTACAACTGTAAAAGTTCCTCAAACTGCTTAACATGGAATTTCCCTACGACCCAGCAATCCCACTCCTAGGTATCTACCCAAAAGACAATAAAACACTGATTGAAAAAGATACTTGTACCCCCATGTTTACTGCTGCTTTATTTACAATTGGAAAAACATGGAAGCAGCCCAAATGCCCAAAAGAAGATGACTGGATTAAAAAGATGTGGTACATGTATACAATGGAATATTACTCAGCAACCAAAAAAAGAGAAACACATGTCTTTTGCAGCAACTTGGATGGAGCTGGAAAAGATCATGCTTAGCGAGATAAGCCAGAAAGAGAAAGAAAAATACCGGATGGTTTCACTCATAGCAGGAGTGTAATGGACCAGGCGAGAAAATAACAAGAATAATGAACAACCATATACCAGAGACATTCTGTGGGGGTGGAGTGGGGAATGGGATCAAAAACGGGGGTGGGGGTTGGGGGGGTGGGGAGGGAAGTGCACGGGATTATGGTGATGGCACACGGGTGACTCGGTGATGGGAAACCTGCGGGGATTACAATTGAGATGGGGAAAAATTGTACAAAATGATGTAAAAATAAACTATTATATTGTTTCTTAAAAATTAATTAATGCAGTGTGTTTGGTGCAGCCTTCAGTGTCAAGAAAGGTGCTGTCCATCTCAGCGGTGCTTCTTTATCGGCCCTGTGGGCTCCAGGTGTCCGAGCGCCGCAAGGTTCGCCAGTGGAATTCCCAGTGGCAGCCGCTCTAGAGAAGCTGAAGTCCTGCCCCTCCACTGGAAAGGGAGAGGCCAGCAGACTCAGGGCGCCAGTGTGGCCAGGGAGCTCAGTTGTGCCAGACCTGCGAATGGCAAGTGGCGTGCGTTTGTGGGTGCTCAGCCCAGGGAGCACCTCCTGGCCTACAGGGGGGCGAGGGCAGGGGTAGAGGCAGGCAGGCGGCCGTGCTCAGCTCAAGTGGGAAGCCGAGCTGTTTAGATGTCCTGCTCCATCCATCAGCTAGCTTCGTAAACACCCAGAAGCCCAGGAGCCAAGGGGCCCCATGGCTGAAGTGGGGGCCGCGGGGGTGGCGGGGGAGCCGGCTGGAAGGGACTGCCAAGTGGTGCCCAGAGATTCCAGCAGAGTCTCCTGACCTGCATCTCCCCCAGACTGTGGCGAGGTGGGGGTTACACATTAACCTGGGCACAGCCTGTCGGTGTTTATGAGGCTGGGTCTGGGTGACCGGGTGATGGGAGCCCACTTTGAAAAGAGGTTTTGTTCGCTGGTGCTGAAAGGGCATCGGGGTGCACTGCCGTCTAGGACTGTGGACTTGGAGGCCCCAGGGACTGAGTGGGAGAACTCAAGAGGAGCACAGTGCCACAGACTCCTCAGCTGCAGAATGGCAGTGGCACCCCCGTGAGAAAGGGGCGGGTGACTCCCCATGTAGCTCAGTTACATTGAGGCATCTAGACCGGCTGGCTGGTGGTGGGACTCCTTAGTGTCGCCTGTGGACACTAGCAGGCTACAGCACTGGGCACTTTTTTTTTTTCCAGTTGTATTTTATTTTATTTTATTTATTTATTTTATAATAGTTTATTTTTACATCATTTTGTACTTTTTTTTTTCATCTCAATTGTAATCCCCATAGGGTTCCCATCAAGCACTGGGCACTTTAAAGAAGACCACCTCTGAGCCCTGACGAGGTTCCTGGGGGTGGGTGAACACGTGTTGGGTTCCTCCAAACTAGGGGCTTTCCCAGAGTCCGTGGCAGGCAGGAGGGTCGCTGTGTGGCACCCTCTGCTTGGCACCAAGGACATTCCTACCCCGCTGGTGGGGTCTTTAATGTGTGAAGCATTCCCGGGTCTGCCATTCTGCCCAAGCCCTTGTTAATCATTGAGCTGACTGTGCTTCAGACACCCCACCTCTGTTTAGGGGTCAGAAGGGAGCCACATTGCTGAGCGGGTGCGTGACCCTGAGCCCGTGCTGCTCCTGCTCGGCTGGCGCGCTGGACATGCTCCAGTCCTTGAGAGTGGCCCAAGGTCACTGGAAATAGCACTGCCCAGAGACAGAACCGCTGCCTGGAGGGGAGACTCCCAAGTTCTCCGCCTGGGCCTGCAGGGGCGTTCAGAGCCTCGAGCCCCCTCTGGGGGTGAGGCTCCCCGGCCAGGCACACATGGGATCTGGGCTGGAGAGGCTGGTGGGCACCGGATGGTGCCACAACTCTGTGAGCCATGACCCTAGGTCCGTGAGGCATGCAGTTTAGAAGGGGCTCTTGGGATGGAGCTGGTGGGAGGTGGATTCGGATAGTGGGGAGCCCCTGACAAAGCCCATTCACATGTCTTCTTCACATGTGACCAGCCCATGTGGCTCCTCATACATAACCCCATTTCTGGGTGACTTTTTCACCTGTGGCCCCCCATCACTGTAGCCTTCCCACACGGTCCTCATGCTGGTTGGCCTCTGCCCCACCCCCCTTTGCTTGTCCTGCTCCAGTAGCCAAGCTCCTCATGTCCCTTGCTGTCCACAGGGCACGGCTTCCGTCCTTCAGCGCCGATCCCCCAATGAGGAGTACGTGGAGGTGGGGCGCCTGGGGCCTTCCGACTACTTTGGTGAGTGGCCCCTTCCCTCATGAGCTGCAGTCTTCTTATGGGAGCTGGGGAGGGCCCAGGGGAAGGTCCCGGGGGGCATGCTGGCGGGTGCTCCAGACAGCCCGCTGCAGCAGGTCAAGGCCAGGACGTGTATAAGCTGTAAAGGGACAGCCAGTGCCGTGTTACTGTGTCTCCAGCACCTCACCCGTCACACTTACGCTAAGGGTTTAGTAGTGTCCTGGGGTTTGTTCTTCCCTAAATCTGCGGCCCTGGCTACACCCAGCCCAGGAGACCCCAGGTTGGGCCCTGACCAGTCTTTCTTGGCCCCCAGGGGAGATTGCGCTGCTGCTGAACCGGCCCCGGGCAGCCACTGTGGTGGCTCGGGGCCCCCTCAAGTGCGTCAAGTTGGACCGGCCCCGCTTTGAGCGTGTGCTGGGTCCCTGCTCCGAGATCCTCAAGAGGAACATCCAGCGCTACAACAGCTTCATCTCCCTCACCGTCTGAGTCCCCTCGGGTCCTGCCCTGCTTCCCATGTGCTGGCGTGTTCGTCTGTGTCAGGAGGCCTTGGTGGGGGGCTGGCGTCCCAGCATGGGGGGACTGTCCTCTCCAGCGGACTCACCTTTGGAGTAAAATAGTCACCTCATGCATTTCAACAATCAAGGGTGTCTACACCACACCCTCTTCTCCCTGTTCCATGGGAGACCCATCCTCATTTCCCCCTTGCCCCCCACCATGTCTTCTGGGGCACATGAGTGTGTGCCCACACCCTGTGGCCAAAGGTCCCAGCTATGAGTCCATGTGGACCAGACCTGCTGGTGGCTCTCCTCGCCCAGGTTGGGCCAGATCACAGGTGTGGGGTCCGAGTGTGGAGCTGGTGACGATACCAGAGCATGTCCCACAAGCACCCTCAGGCTTTGTGCTGTAAGTTGAGTTTAGAGAAGGAGGGCCCAGGCCCCTCCTTCAGACACTCCTGTCCTGTCTGTGAGTTTAATGTTCAGTGTGCCAGGGTGGGGGAGCCTCAGTGACTTCAGTCAGAGGGAGCAGAGAGGGGGGTGCCTGGTCCTGGATGGGGGGGTTCCTGGCTCAGGTGAGGCCATGCTACTGACAGTGACCCCACATATGGGGTCCAGGTTTGCATGGGATGTTTAAAGGTATGGTCATGAAGGAGCCCTTTTCTGGAAAGCCCATCTTGGGTGGGTGTTGACAGGAAGACAGGGGCAGCTGGCCACCTTGTTGGACTGAGATGTGTAGGATGGGGAGGAAACAGTGTGTAAGCTGGGACTTTCCAAGATCCAGGGAGGGTTGTTCTCTGGATTTGGGGGAACCTAAACAATGTCTCCTATTATTGCAAAGTAGCTTACGAGAAACCTTGCAAGGGAGAGGAGGAAGGGTCCCTCCAGTCTGCTCTGGGTGAAGTTGTGAGAGCCAGGCAGGTCCCTTCTGCCTTATTCTCCAGATGATGTGCCTCCAGTTGAAGGGTCCTTGCCCCGGGGAGGAAAATGTGCAGCTCCTGAAACTCCTGAACCTCCTGAGCCTCCATTCTCATGCCAGGGCAATAAAAATCAGTCAATCCAGCTGTGGGTCCCACATACCCAAGTCATTCATTGATTGAATTCCCCCTTAAATATATCTTTAATCCAGCAGTAATGTGAGAGACAGGCCTGGGGGATTGGGCAGTGGTGGACAGAAGCTCGTGTGGCCTCTGGGGACCGGAATGCTAACGAGAGTGTGCAGTTCACCCGACTTTGCTTCTGCCTGTGCATGTCGGGGGGCTGTCCAGTCTTAGGGACCCTCACCAGCCCTGTCTTTCCCTGTGGATGTGTCTGTGATGTGTGATTCCCACCCCTATTTATTGCGATGTTTCGAGTGCTGCATGTACTATTAAATGTGCAATGAAGTACCTCTCCCCGACTCGGGTTTTGGTCTGGAATCTTTAATACAAGGTTTCTTTTCCCTTTTGTTGTTTTTTTTTAGATCGTGGTAAAATAGTCATAACAAATGTACCATCTTAACCATTTTTAGGCGTATAGTTCAGGGGCACCAAGCGCAATCACACTGTGCAAACACCATCACCTTCCATCCCCAGAAATTTCTCATCTTTCCAAACTAAATCCTGTCGCCATTAATCTCTGGCTCTCACTACTGCTCCCCGCCGCCCCCCTTCCACCCAGTCTGTCTCTGTGGACCTGCCTCCCCAGGGAGCCACCTAAGTGCAAGCGTTTGTCCTTCTGTGTCTGGCCTTATTGCATTCGGCACAGTGTCCTCAGTTACCCACCCACGATCCACTTATGAGTCCACAGAGAGGGTTTTCTGCCCTTTCTGGGCTTAGTTGCATGTGTCCCCATCATTGCCCCCTCCTCCCCCACAGTGCACTGGGGGAGCTCCAGGGCTGAGTGCAGCATGGAAGGAAGGAGGCGAACAACCTACCTTGGGGGAACCACACTTTGATGACCCGGGGGGGAGGGGAAGGGGTGATAATGGTCGGAGGTACCGTTCTCAAGCCTGGTGTTCAGACTGTGGAAAACAAGAGTCCTAGGCAGAGTTTCGGCCAATGCTGCAGATGCTTTTTGGCCTCCCAGGAAGACTACATAAGGCCCGGACGGGCAGTCAGAGGCAGCCTCTGCCTCGTGTTGCAGAGACTTCAACCACCGGAAGGAACGTGCACCACCTCCAGTGGGTCTTGGAAGCGCTCATAGCCAGTGTAGGTCCAGGCGGTCCTGCTGTTGGGGGCTGGGAAGGCCCACAAAAGAAGGGTGCAGCCTGCCAAGTCCCTCCTCTTTCAGCTGGAGAGGAGCCAAGATCCTTGGGAAAGTCACAGTTGAGCCAGGAGACAGGACTCCGCCCTCCCCTGCAGGGAGCTTAGCCCCTCCAGCAGTGTGGGGGCTCCGGAATAAGCAACAGGGTGACCTTGACCCACAGGACACCACTGCAGCTACCAGGCAGTGGCTCAGGGCCCCCGGTGGGTGAGGAACCTGCATGTGCCCTCCCTTAAGCCTATCCCTTGGGGAGTGAGAGGTGTTTCCTCCGGGTAAGGGGTACAGTTCTCAGGCCTCAGGGACAGCACAGCCATTGCTTCAAGGGGCCTGTGGGACAGTTTGGCCAGATCCGAGGTGCTAGGAGCTCTCTCTGGAGAATGGGCCTGGAGGTCAGTACTCAAAGGAGTTTTGCCCCTCTGCCCAGCGGGGAGATGTATCTCCAGTGGCCAGGCTGGGCGTGGGTGGTGGTCCCCCTGGGCTGGCTGGAGCCCATGGTCTTTCCTGAGATGCTCACCTGGATCTCCAGGCTGGGCTGGCTGCCTGCTCTGAGCCCCCACAACCCCTCCGCTCTTCTCAGGGACAGCAAGACCCAGCCACACGTGACTGCCAGGCTCCTCCACAGACCCAGGCAGGGAGCCTCCGCTCTCGGGGTTGTGTGGTCCTGGCTGTTCGGCACGTGGATTGTGGAGGAAGCTGAATGTCTTGGTTGTCATGAGAAGAGGCAGGGGCACGGCCAGGCAGCGGTCTTCAGACGTCTTCTCGGCGTATCTCAGGAAGTCCACTCATTTCTTTCTTCAGATAGCAACATGATAATAAATACCATCTGCACACTGCAAAGCCCTGACCACCTGTGTGATTTTAAGTGTTCTGGTGGCCATCCCCCAAGTAAAAGTAACAGGTGAAATTCTCTCTGTGGTAATTACCACGCTGACCGGTTCAGATGTGCAGCCTGTGGCGTTCAGTACATCACACCATTGTGCAGCCATTGCTTCCATCTCCAGAGCTTCCATCTTCCCAGGATGGAACTCTGCCCCATTACACACTAACCCCCCCCCCCGCCCCTTCACCCAGTCCCTGGCACCCACTATCTACTTTTTGTCTCTGTGAAGAAATATGCTTTAGTAGTTTATTTTACCCAGTAGGTCCCAAATATGCTCGTTTCTGCATGCTGATCAACATGAGGACTTTTGAGAGGTTTACAAGTCTCGGCAGCAAGTCTTAGGAATCAGTTGGACTCACACATGGGGAGCAGCGCCCTTTGCACACAGTGGTGCCCGACCGTGGCTGCGAGCTGGACCTAGGTCCACGGGAAACGGAGCAGCCCACAGCTGCAGGCACGGGTCCGAGCAGACCTCAGCACAGTCCCTCTTGGCTTGAAAAGGGGCCCTGGGACCGCAGGGGTTTGGCTGCTGCCCCATCTGGGAAACACGGGATGAACACAAAGCCAGCATGGGCACCCACTGGATGCCAAGTTGATGCCCCAACATTCATCTGTAATCCAGACTTCAGTTATATCTTCCTCCTGATCTCTTGATTGGCTCCAAGTTACAAATTTGACCCTATGAAATGCAGAGTTACAAAGTAACTTATCTTTCTGATTCCATTTTAAATCTGCCAAAGACTTGCCAGAGTTCTGTGGCTGAACAAAGAGATCCTGGTTTGAGGTTGGAGCCACCCAGAGCGAAGGCGACTGAGCCTGTCCCACTGCCTGTCTGTCAGGGCTGAAAGAGGGGTAGAGAGACGGACCTGGAGGTATCTGGTGTGAGCTCCTAGGGGGAGCCAAAGATTCCTAAGATTGGAGGGGAGATGGGTCTTGCATGACATACTGTATGAAATCAGAATTGGGGCTCAAACCTAAAGCCTGAGTTAGCTATTGCCCATAACAAATGGCACCCTTATGACCTCACCACACCTGTGGCTGGGGAATCTGTGGCCGCTTTGGGGGTCTCTCTTGGGGCTGCAATCACTTGTGTGGGGTCACATCATCTGAAGGTTCGACTGGCGCCTCACTCTTGGGGTCACCTCCATGGCTGTGGAAGGGAGGCCTCACTTCCTCACATGGGTACCCATCCTTGGACTTCGTGGACATCTGGTGCCCCAGAGCAAGGAACCCTAAGAATAAACTGGAACCTTGGAATCCGCACACTATCTCTTTGACCACACTCTCACCCATAGAAATGGGTCACCAGGTCCAGCCCACACTTAGGAGAGGGCTGGGTGGACAGGAGGCCTGCAGAGAGTCTGTGGACTGACTGACCCTGAATGTTCTGCTTTCTGTTGGTGGCAGACATGAAGCAGTGTGTGCTGAAGACCATCTCTGTCCCCGTGGGTTTTCATGCCACCATGCAGGTGGGCAGCCAAGTAATTGGAAGTTGAGGAGCTCGTGCTGAAGCTCAGGATCCTCTTTTACAGACTACAAACTTGAGGCTGAAGAGGGTGGTTGCTACTGGTTACTCTCCAGGTGTAGCCCACCCTCCAATCCAGGCAACCCCCTTGGGGGGACCTCGCCCTCTCTCCATGTGCAGCCCTGGGGGGTGGGTCCCTTGATCTGAAAGTCTGGGCCCTAACTGTACAGACTGACATCCCCTGTGTTCTCAGGTGTCTTCAGCCTGAAGGGAAAGAGAGAAGTACAGAAAGATGGAGGTGAGGCCCCAGGGGAACCCCCAAAACACTCTTGCTTAGAACTTTGAAATCCCACCTTTTAAAAGCTAGATAGTTGAGGGTTTTGTTTCCTGCAGTCAAAAGCACCTGACAGACACAGTTGGAGGTGATCTGTGTTAATTAAATGTACGGAGTCAAACAGACTTGTTGAGTAGAAAAGGGGGATTGATAGATGAGGGGATTCCCAGCCTCTGGCCTAGTAGAAACCAGGGTACCCAGGGTACCCTCACATCTCTTATGTTCATCTGGATAACCATGCCCCATGCCCCAAGCTGCTTAGCTGGGGCAGAAACAGGTGTCCACCTAGGTCAGTCAGCGATGAGACAAGATAGGGCCTGCACATGAGGTTAGTGGGGCCACCCTAGGTTTCTGGGCAACTTCTAGGAAGGCAGAGCCATCCTGAATCTGTGCAAGGGGCTTCTCTGCCCTGCGGCCATGCTCAGGGAGCTAGCCCACTGTCCCCAGGCCCCACCTGGTCTATTCCCAGGGTTCATTACGAGAGAACCGAGGGTTGTGGGTGCTGGGATCCCACAACCCTACCCTCAGTACCCCTGAGCCTATGACCTTACGTGGCAAGAGGACTCTGTATACAGGGTTAAGCGTCTTGAGGTTTGAGATGATCTTGGATCATGGGCAGGGGAGCGGGTGGTGTCTTCATCAGGATCCTAAAAGAGGGGCAGGAGGGTCTGGGACAGAAGGAGCCCTGAGGATGGAAGCAGAGCTAGACTGGAGATGGTGCTAACTGAAAGGTGGAGAACAAGCCACAGGTCAAGGCCATGGGCCCCTATAGATGCAGAAAGGACGCAGACCCTCCCTAGCGCCCGCAGAGAGAGTGCAGCCCCTGGGTGCATTTCAGACTCAACCTCAGGCTGGAAGGTGAGACGTTTGGTGAGTTTTGTTACAGCCGCCTTAGGGAGCCCGACCCAGCTCTGCCCATCTCCATGCTGGGGCCACCATGCTGCACTGCTTCCAGAGTCCTGGGTCTTCCTGGCTCCAAGTGGCAGGGCAGCCTTTCTCTGGAGGTGGACTCTGGTCTCCTGTGACCCACGCAGCAGGGTCTGATGCAGGCGGTGGCTGGTGGCTGAAGGAAGCAGCTACGTGATGCCCGTTGGGGGAGGCCAGGGGCTGCAGCAGCTTCTTCCCCAGCTGGGCACTGGGTCTGTTCCCTCTGGCACCAGGCGGGCACAGACCCGGTTTTGTGGGGCTCATGAAAGCCTACTTGTGTGTGCCTGAGACTACAAGCCAGACGATTGTTCCTGCACCACCATGGCCCCCAGGGCGGTGCTGGGGTGCTGCCATAATGGGATGCAGGGGAGGGGTCCAGGTTGGTGGGGCCCAGGCACTCTCAGAGCCTGGGGGTGTGGCCAACCCACCCCTCTGCTGGGCTGCTGGGCCCATACATGCATTGGCCCCCAAGTGGCCTCCTTCCTTTCCATTGCTCTGGGGGCTTGATGTTGACAACCCTGAAGCAAGGCAGCTTTGGGGAAG